GGGGGGGGGGGAGAAAAACTCTTTTAAGATACATGGAGCTGCAGATACTTTTACAGAAATTTAAGAGATTCATTTATATTTTAAGATGTGTAACCAACTACATATTCCTTGGTTTTCATGTGTAACATGGATAACACACACAACACCTCTCCTACCTGATTGAGGTCTTGCCCAATCTTTGAGCTCCATTCAGTCAGTGTTTTCTGAATGCAGTCCCGCACCTACAAAATATTTTTTCATATTTCAGGGTAGGTATGTTATAGCTGCACAGAAATACAATGATTCAGAGACATGCAGGACAGACTGAGCAAGTGAACTAATGACACCATTCCTTCAACCACAGAAGATTCTTCCTTCACAGCTTCCATCTGAAACTTGTTCAAACTAGTTTACTTATATATTTTCCTCTCCTCTTTCACAGAGAGTTTTAGCAGTAATACAAGAACTGTACTTAACTTATTTCTCAGACCAATGCCATCTTTAAAGGAAAGACCAGGGTCAAGCAACAAGAACTAGGGTGTGGGGTGCTGTGGGGTTTTTTGCATAGAAATTCTTAAATTACAATATAGTTAGATAATAGTATACATACTATGACATTGTTAGAAATGAGATGTTACAATCCATCACTAAATACCCATTATATTAATTACTTCTCTTTCCAAGATGCATCTGACCCTTTTCATTTACAGCCTACCTATTCCACTGTGCCAAACCACTAATGCTTTTAAGTCCTTCCTTACTGAATAGGGAACCTTCAGATCCTACCCCACACATGCATTTTTCCTGCATCACAGATGCAAAATAAACCTGACGAGGATTCTGACCATGGATTTTCTTGAACATAGTAAGGCATAACTATTAAGTCTAAATCAGCTAATCAACTGCATATTGCACCAGTGCTTCAGCTGTACCAATGCTCTAGCACCTCTCTGATACATCTCAGGAGTTGTTAACCTGCAGGCTAAGTAAATGTACTGTCAAGACTGCTGTCTGCCACAGGTAGGAGCACTTCCATGAGCTGCTGCTTTACTTCGCTTTTAGCAATATATTTTATAACTATGTGGATACCTACTTTTTGTACCATTAAACAGCCATTGTACCAGTAAATGTACCATTTCCTGTGACACCTAACATTAATTCAGAGAACTCATAATACTATGTACAAACTAGAAGCCACCCCCCCCAACCAGGATATCACAAACTTTAAGATATAATACAGTAATAATACTTTGTGAGCACAAATTCTATACATTCTTTCCCAGCCATTTAAAATGGCATAAAAAACCCCAACTGAGTCAGAAAGTAAGAATTGACTCCCACCCACTAAATAGCTATCCACAATGCTGGAACTCTTTAGCCTATTTTGATGCAACTTATAAAGTTCTTCTTGCCTTCCCAAGGAAAGTGAGACAGTGCTAAATATGTATATATATTGCTACTTTGCAACTGTCACACTTTGTATTTCTACTGCAGTTAGTATTCACAAGCCTCCATCTCCAAAGCACACCATTCCCCTGCCCTCAACACACGTGAAAAGCAAAGTCTATTTGACTGCTTTGACCAGCTTTTCCAAATACAGATACATCCCAAGACTCTTAACATTAGGGTTCATAGTTTGCAAAACTTTAGCTTACATTACCTCCGAGAACTATATACACACTAACTACATGAAATAGGAGAGCTGAAAGCCAATTTATTTCTGATAATTAATGCCAATTGCTTGCTTTTGGAATTCCAGCAACTCTGGAAAGCAGGTAGCCTTATATTCAAACACCCTGTAAACAAATGAATTTAAATACTTTAACTGATCAGTTATGCATACTAGCCACTCTTTATTTAACAACCCTCCAGAAACTACTCACACAAGGGTGGCCATTACGATACAGCTATCTCTTTGCTACAGAATCTAGCCCTATTTCACACAGATCACAGACCCTAATAGGCAACCAGGCCAAATAAAAACGTTATTACCACGTGACAATGAAGGAAACACATGATGAATTTTTCCTTCTCATTACATCATCCTCCCAGTCACCTTTCTTACCATTTCTGCATGATTAACATGAAATCAACCAAATTCTTGTTTATTAACAGTGCCACTACATAGCAATAACTAGCCAAACCCATAGTTCTTCTGATGATTAAACGACTGTTTTCAGATTACTGAGTCATGACAAGACAGCAAATACAGTGAGGTTCTGAAGTTCACGGCCACAGGATCTCCAGCTGTTTTATCAGGATTATTTTAAGTGTTGACACATACTGCTAAATGTAATAGTTTTAAAGTGGTGATTAAAAAGTTATTTCAACTTTTTTTAATAAAGAATAACAGCTATATTTAAATAAAACAGCAACGACCAATTTTCCTGAGACCTGTCACCACCGAATTACTAAAATCAGTTTCAGGTTAGAAAAGAGAACGTTCATCATTCCTAACACAAGCTCGCATCTATTCTTATCTTTCTCTTGCGAAGGAAGCATCACGGGTCGCAGACAGCACTGAAAACTTGCAAGCCTTTTAATTCTTCATTCCCCGAGAGCAAAAGCACGGTCTGGTTTCCTCAGAAAAACTCCAACACAGAAAAGTGCTTCCGGGGGCAGCGGGACACACACACGACACCCCTGCCTGTCCCTAGCGAGGCCCGGTGTGGCTCGCCCTTGGCCTCCCCGGGCTCCCCGCACCTCAAGACTTTTATACGTGCATTTTATAACTATTTTTATGCCCAATGCTAGGAAAAGTACATTGGATTGAACATAAGAAATATGGCTGCAGATGTTGTAGCAGAGTTTATGAAGCACTTCAAGAACCTGGAGAAGCAGCTGGTTCATTTCACTGGCAACACTGTGTTGAGGCTAGGAATTAGCTAGGGAGCATGAATACCAGCTAAAGAGGTTAAGTAGGAACTCGGCCCATAAGAAAAGAAAATGAATATGTTCTTTTGCTAGAAGCCACCTCAAAAAATGACAGAACCAGCTGGGAAAGCTCTTGCTTCCTCCAAAGAAGGAAGGATTCCTCCATGGGCTTAGGGAAACTAGACGACTCTCTTTTTTGAATTGGATTCGTGTTACTGGCATTTGTATCTTACAAAGGTTGTCTTGTTAATCCTGGGGGGTGCCTGTTCATTTACATGGGCTGAATAGAGTCTTGCCTGCAGGTGCTAGTACCTCTGACTATTAAGAATAAAAGTTATTTTGGATGCTTTGCTGATCTAGTTAAAGAACGAAAGAAGGTTTGTTTTGATTTGGTAGCTCATTTCCCCCTGGTTCTATTGATGATGTGATTACAACACAAGACAGATATTTTTTCATATTGAAAATAGCATGCCAGGTGTGAATGCCACCTGTGACGTGGAATACAGGGGGGATGAATGCCTTGGGAATGGATGATAAAATGGATCCTATGCAATCTTTAACCAGGGAGTTCAATCTCTCTGCACCAGAAGGACCTCCCATAACTTCAAATAAACAGTCTGAATGCACCAGTAAGATGAAGATTGGTGAACACTGTTTTATTTAACGGCCATACAAACAGGACTTGCGTAGCTGCTCTGCAGGCTTCGAAAAATTAGTGAAACCGTCCGAATTTCGGTCACGACGCTTTCGAGTGCTTCATAGGCACTGAGATAAAAAGGCCCAAAAAAGGAAACCAAACGCATACCGAGCCTGGTTGTGTGTACATTTTGATGAAACTTAAAAGTTACTGTCAGGTAACTCCAGTTTTGTACCGGGTGGTTTCAGTGAAGACACACCGGGTGAAACTTGAAGGATTACGGTTTGGGGAATTTTTTTTAAGAGCAGGTGGCTTCTGGAAAGCTGCGCTCTGAACTTTAAAGTACGTCTGTGTTGGGGTTTGGGGGGGGGCCCTTTTTTTTTTTTTTTCTTATGTCATAACTACAGGGAACAGTAAGCCACAAATTGTAATTTTGCTGTCAGCATGGGAATCTCAATTGCGTTTCTAACAGCTTTTCCTTCCCCAGGCTGCACGGTGTGCTAATACAGAGAACCAATTTGCATAACTTCTGTCAGTCTGAAGCACTGCCTGATCGCTTCCTGGTACAGAAGGTTAGTTTAAATGTTCTTTATATTTGTGTTCTGATTACTTTTCCCGATTGGATTGCTTTCATGTATTTGAAATGTTTTTATTCATTGTGTGACTACAGAGCATCTGGAAGTGAAATATACTGAAAAAAGTGTCAGCTTATTTGGAAAAGCAGTAGTTTTGTTTTCTTTAGCGTAAAAATCCGGAAGGTCTAACCTGGCCCAAAGGTTCACCATCCAGACTCGTAAGTGGCTTGAGAAGGAGCGTGCACCTCCATACGCCTTCACAGGTATTTACACTAGTAGTGAATTCTGTCCTGTTGGGTCTTTCTGATTGGCCTTCTGGCTTTCCAGTAGATTTCAAAGATAAATTTCTTTTAGTGAAATTTATTCTTTGATATGTCATTAACCATGAAGTAGTTTTGATGGTTATAATAATTCTGTGGAAGCAGGTTAAATTTGGGGATTACAAAAGGTTTTCAAACAGTGCACAGTATATATCTGTCTAATGGAAATTTATGGCTGTGAAAAAGCAGTGTTCCTTTTACAGCACTGTAGAATTTGCTGGTATTTAATTATCTTAGCTCTAGAAAAAGGATACCATGTAATGAAGACTGGTTGGAGGAAAAATAGTATCAGCGTCTGTACTGCTTTATGTCATGCATTTAATTCTCAGCGGCAGCACAAACACATCACAGAAGACAGGATCTCAGCAGAGTTGTGTTGTCAGTCCAATTACCCCTGAAAAGGAAGGTAAACTATCAGAGAAAGGAAGGAGGATGCTTCTAGCTCATGGTCAGTTGTATTTTGCAGGTTACCTCATTAAGCTACTTCAGATCTGCAAAAAAAATACGAAAAGCGATTGATTTCCACCAGTAATTCTGTAATGTTCAAAGAAAAATAAATTACCCTTTTGAACAAAATGCCACTGAATCGTCACTCCAGGCAGTCGGTGAGCGTTACTCTCTTCTCCCAGTTTTTGAGCACCGGGAGCTGCAGAACTTGGCTGGTGGGAGGCACCGGCGGTCCCGCACTGCTGCAGGCTGCCGGCGGGACCGCTGCTTCCTTCGCACCGCCGGGCAGCGGCCCCGGCCCCGGGCGGGCG